ATCTATCTATCTATCTATCTATCTATCTATCTATCTATCTATCTATCAGAAGGACGATTTTTAGTTTTATGGCAATTTGAATGTAAAGATAGCCTGAAGCCTCTCAGAGTTTTACCCAGGTATTCTAAACACACACCTCCTCGTGATACTTCCTCTCCTCCTCCACCACCTCCCTCTGCGCCTTCTCCCACTCCTCCTTCAGCTTCTCCTGCTCGCGCCGGTACTTCTCCTGTTTCCACGGCAACAGACGGGACATACAGAGAAAGAGCCTCAACAAAGAGGAGGACGCGTCTCCTTTGAAAAGGCTTCACTCTTTTTTTTCAAATCTGATGACCGAATCCCACAAATTGAGGAAATATACACATAAAGGAGGATTTTGAGTTCTCTCATTCCTCCATTTATGATTAAAGCTTTGCTCTGATTGTTAGATGTCCTTGTTAGAGAACAGAATAAAGCAGTGCAGGCAAAAAGCAAAAGACATGCATGCAAAGACTTTGCAGCAGTGGGTTCCTACACAAGATATATATATATATATATATATAAATAAAATATATAATCTTAGAGGTTGCTTTAAATGTTTAAAGCTGTGTTTCAGTCAACGGCATCTCGCCAGTTTAGGGTAACTTGAAAAACTATCCCTGATTATTTTCTTCGCAAACTTGTATAGGAACCCCATATGAAGTCAAGAATTTTAAGATCAAAGAACTACAAAGACATTCAAACGGACTCTGGGAACAAGACCAGGGCGCACAGACAACGTAGAAAGAAACTGGGAGGCGGGGAATGAGCACATTGATGCACCAGACATCCATCCATTTCAGCACACCCCATCACAAATGGTCCTGAAGCTACTGAGAAGAGGTTCCAGCTTTACTCAGCCCTGTTTCGGGCCACAGCGAAACAGGCCGGACAGCCAATCGCGTCGCAGTGCGGTGCGTGGACTGGAAAGGCTCCGGTTTTGTGGCTGAGGAGAGAGAGGGCGAGTCGGGCAGCAGCAACAGCAGCGAAATCCCGACGTCGTGTTTGTGCGTGAAATGGAGGAACGGGATGGAAGATAACCCGAAGCTCTTCCTCCGCACAAAATAATCCCCATATCGTAGTTCAAATGAGCACCAAGGAGTCTGAGGGGGGGCGTGGCTTAAAAAGGAGACGTGCTTAATGCAAAACAAAAATGGGAGGCAAGCTTTGGTTGCATTTGGAACATGTTTTTTTTTATTTTTTTTAGTGTTTAGTAAGTGGCAAGGTATCCCAGCTTTAGGTTTAGTTAATCTAAAAAAACAACATTGACCCAAAAAGTCCATGTCATCTGCTTTAACCTTTAACTTGAGAACGGCTATAAAAAAAACAAAATAAAAAAAAACGATATTTTCTGATTATTTCTTTAAGGCCGGCTAAAAAATATTTTAAAAAACCAAAAAACAGTATCTTCTGATTATTTCTTTAAACTATGCATTTATTGTTGTTGGAAAAAACAATTATTTTAGATACGGGCTCAAGCTTGTTTCTACAGCAGCATAATAAATTTCGTCTATATGCCAAAAACCTTTTAGTGGACCGAGCATTTATACAGCATGCAGAGAGCTAGCAATAAAAATGCATCTGTTGTTCAGCTAGTCTCGTACAGTAAAGATAAAAATACTGTTTCTTCTTTCTCCATGCTGCTTTTAACCCTATAATGCCAAATGTATCATATTTGATTCATACGGTTTCTGAAGTCTTTTGGATTCGAGACTTTCTGCATCATTCAGTGGTAAAAGCTTTGCTCAAACCCCTGTTGTACACATTCAGATATACCTGATAACAGCCAGCAGAACACTACACCAACATATATTTTTTACTTATTGCACGCTAATTTGATCAAAATAATTTCAGTTTTTTTTTTCTTCATATGTTGTTGAGGGGCCAAAGAAAGACTTCAGACTAAATAAAATCCAATATTCTTCCTATTTTTCTTGGATCAGGCTTTAAAGGGTTAAACGTCACACTGCTGGAGCTTAGCTCTGTCCAGTCCATGGTCCCTAACGGAGCCCCGTCATGCCCATGCTCCACCCCTGGAGGCCCCGGGAGGCCCCTGGAGGCCCCTGGAAGCCCCTGGAAGCCCCTGGAAGCCCCTGGAAGCCCCTGGAGGCCCCTGGAGGCCCATGCTCCACCCCT